GGAAATCTAATTTTTAAAGAGATATTGCAACCAAATAGGTACAGCATCTAAATTAAGATTAAAATGGGTTTTCAGTCTGCCAAATTGCTTTTAACTCTGTAATGTCTTTTTCTCATCTGACTTTTTTTAAAACCAATTCCTTTAGGGTATTGGCAGTGGTACAAAAGAGAGAGAAAATGTGTCTGGGCTAACGGGATTCTACTGTGTAATCAAAAGAAATCTAATTACCTTGAACATATGACAGAGCACATGCTGGGACTATGTTTCATGTGATCTAGAACAAAACTTCATAAATTATTTATAGAAATGTGACTAGCTTGCTGACAGGAAAACAGACTGTATAAACAATAAAAATGCCTATTCATGCTGTCACAATATTAAAGCAGCAATTTTAAAGATATGTTTAAAGTGATTAACTTTGTAGAACAGTTTTCCCAATTTCTTGCCTTCTAGTTGAGTTTTACCAGGTAGGCTAGACAAGAGACATGACCAAATAAGTTAGTTCATTATTGTAAAGCTATTAATAACAGAATCCTGCAATTCTGAAAGTACAGTTCTCCTGCCAACACTCTTTGTATTTACACATAGAGAACTTTAGGAGCTGTGGTAGCAAAGTGGCTAGAATGCAGTATTTCAGGTTAACTCTGCCCATAGCAGGAGTTCAATTCTGACCAACTTAAGATTGACTTAATCTTCCATCGAGATTGGTAAAATGAGAATCCAGATTGTTGGGCACAATGTGCTGACCGTGTAAACTTCTTAGAGGGTGCTGTAAAGCAGCAGTTACCAACTGGTGGGCTGTGGCAAAATTTTGGTGGGACGCAGAAGAAATGGCCCGCGAAAGCAATTAATCTGGGTTGCATGGGAAAACAAGGCTGCTCCGCCTACATGGCCACTGCAAAACTTACTTTGACTAAGACTGAGCAGCAGAGAGCCACGTGAGCTGGAATTTGAAGGTAAGACCAACAGCGGGAGAGGAAAATCCGCCCCGGGGTGGCTTGCTGACGGTGAGAAAGAAAGGTGATTATGAACTAACAGAGTGACTACACTGATACACAGTTTACTTTAGTTTAGGTTACTTTACTGTCATTGCACCTCGTACAACAAAATCAAACACCATCTTCAGTGCACATGATGACCATGACCATGAAAATAAACACAAACACACATCCTTCACACATTGAACTGGAAAACTCCGATACCACACCAACGCTGCACTATACAACAGAGTTCAAAAGAGCTACTGCTGTGGGATAGAAGCTGTTTTTCAGCCTACTTGTCCTTGTTTTGATTATTCTGTACCGTCTGCCAGATGGTAATAGTTAAAAAAAAAAGGAGTATCAGTGTAGCCGTTCAGTTAGTTCATAATCGCCCTACCTGAAGAAGGTGCTGAAGGAGAAGGCAGCAGTAGTGGAGAAGTAAGCCAGGCATTAAAGACCCGGGAAGAAAGGGAGCAGCTGCTGCTTGTGCTTCTGCTGGATGCCTGCAGCAACTACCTTTTGCCTCCAGTGGGTGGGGTGGGGGTGGAAGGGAGAGAGAGAGAGAGAGAGAGAGAGAGAGAGAGAGAGAGAAGGGAGCAATCCAACGCTGCTGCTGGAGAATTGAATTCACAGGGAGAGCTGTGAATGGCTTGACTGCTACAGAGTGACCTATATCAGGAAAATGTTAGATAGTACTCTGCATTCAAATGTTTGTAATGACTGGAATGAAAATGGAGTGGAAATGTTTTGATATTTTGTAATAATTGCACTAACTTTAATAATTTTGTTACAATAAACATTTTATTATGATTAAGCATTTATGATTTTGTTATAATTATATACACACATACACACACACATACATATAATTAAATTTATAAAAATTTATAAAAAAAATCATATTATATTATCTTTTTTTAAAAAAATCATATTAGTGGGCTTTGGGATTTAAAATTATAAGTTTGGTAGTCCCTGAGGTCCAAAAGGTTGGCGACCTTTGCTATAAATCAATATAGGGAGCGGTATATAAATCTAAATACTATTGCTATCTTCTGACCCTTTTGCTCCAACCACTATGCAATTTCAGACTATGCTGTCTCTTATCTGACCCTTTCCAAGACCCTTTGCTCATCTCCCAGGATCTTTCCCTCTGAGCCCTCTCTACCAATTAACATATTGGAAATTGTAACTTAACAAGTTTCTTAAGAGAAAATTGCTATAGAACAAAAAAATAACTCCATAGTTTAGTTTCTATATCTGAAATACAGTATCTTAAAACATGTAGGATTAGCATGGAACATGCTTGATTGTCAAGGCAATTGATTGTGTTTGTTTGCGAGGGGCAACTGGGTTGGTTGATTGGTTGGTTGGTTGTCAAGGTTTGTCATCGGGTGCTTGCCAAAACCCACCTGTTGACATCCTAAAAATGTGGTCCTATGTTGCATATATATTTCTCATACTGTTCAGTTGCTAGTTCTGGTTAAGAGAGCAGTAAATGAAGAAAGGGAAAAGGAAAACAAACTTCTGGCTATCTACCCTTTTCTTCAGGCTGCTTGCCAAACTAGGCTCAAAAGAGAGGCAAAGCAACGGAGAGGTCACAATCAGGAAATGCCCAGTGATACAGCTATTCATCTACCATTTCACACACTACAGCCATCTCTTCAGATAAGACAAACTGCTTTAGAGTACAAAACACACACGAGATTGTATAGGATAAGAACTCCAAACTTCTCAGCTAGCTTGAAGGCCACCAGACTGAGGCAGGCTATTCTAAAATGTGACCTTCCTTGCCATATAACCTTTAAGGAACTTCTTCCTTGAAGCTGTGTTTACAAAAAAAACACAGAAATCATTGGGAACCAATATTAAGCTCCTCTTTATTCATTAGTTTTACTTAGTTGCTGCTCTCTTTTCAGTTAAATGGGTAATTCATTTGAAGAGCAATAGCAATATTGAGATACAGAATGTTTCAGTGAACACTTTACTATGAATGGGAGTCTAATTGCCCCAGTGCCTTCACCCATAAAATGATTGTCAATAAAAGCAATTAGATGTGCCTTACAGAATGCGTTTTCTTTGTACTCCCAATGTATGCAATGCATCCCTCTAGTGCTCTATAACTCTTTTAGCTTGGAATAAGTATTAACTGACTCTTCTTATTGTGCTATCAGAATTCTACTTCCCTAGTCAGGTAATTAAATAGTAAAACACTAATACTTCCTCCCCAAGAAAGCACCATTCAAAGGATTTCATTAGTTAATTTATGAATCATGATTATATATCCTTTGCAAAGGTATCTGAAGACTGTATTGTAGAATAAAAACAAAAAGCAAATGAATACAGATCAGTGAAAGATCTGCAGCAAAATGGTATGTCGTCCGTTTTTAGAAATGCAAAGAAATAATTTCACTGAATGGCTACTTTAAAGTAGGAATTCCGTAAGTCTCTTCTTCTCTTCCTGAAGTTATGAATTCCTTCAAACTAATTTGTCAGATGCATACTTAAGAGCTTTACTGGCATCCCAAAGAAAAATGTTTGAGTTACTAAGATGTTTTTACTAAATGCTTCTATTCTGGATCCAGGGGGAAAAAAACTCAAAATTACACTCCTGTAGTGGGCTATTTTATCTGTTACATCATGGGATACAGCTCCATTTGGTTTTGTTAGCTTTTGAAAGTTAAGTATAATATCCCATTTGCTATTCACATCCTTCCATTTAAAAGTAATCCTCCAGTATAAAAGTATTTTGTTTCTTTTACTTTCCATTATAATCAATGCCAAATTTACTGCCAATGCTACTGACTTTCTTTAATACTACTAGTAGCAAGCAAAAATACAGTGATCTATAGCTAGAGATCAAGTTTCATTTGAGAGCCAATTGTTATAGTGGCTAGGATAGCAGATTAAAAACTGGGAGACTGTGAATTTTAATCCTCCCTAGGTACCAAGCCAGCTGAGTGACCTTGGACAGTCACTTTTTCTCAACCCTAGGAAGGTTTGAAAAAGCAAACCACTTCTGAAAATCCTTGCTAAGAAAACTGCAGAGACTTGCCTGGCGGTATCTGAGAATTGGACACAACTGAATGGAAAAAAACCAGGTTATTTTAAATACTGTTCAAAACAATGATATACAAACCACAGTATTCTTAGTTAATGTATATTATATTGTATTCACATTGCACTGTTTTGCTGAGAGCTTGAGATGGTATCCCTTAATTTTAATACCATAACAACATATGGTAGTAAGCTAAGTGGATTGAGTGAGATTGGCCATGAGTTAGCCAGTGAGCTTCATTAGAAATTTGCCTGCATTTTCTTGAGCAAAGCCAACACCCCAGCCACTATTCTGTAGTAGCCATAGTAGCAAACATTAAGTGTTCTGTAATTTCAAAGTGGAAAAAATGTGGAAAAAATATAACAGCATATAATCACTTTTCAGCTTTTGCCCTATTTCTAGCAAGTCAAGGCATTCTATTTATATTGAAGGGAGTGACTATTTAGATACTCCCCAATCTTTTAGGATGCGAAGCACTTCAATAGCTCTGAACTTTCCCTTCATAGAAAATTCTAGTATACAAGCAGATGCATGCAAACATTATGAAAGACACCAGGACAGATTTGAACAGTAGTGATTTTATTTTTCTTCCTTTGCATTGAATAAAGCTGCCTTAACTAACCCTTTGAAAATTTATCATTTATACTCATATGGCTATATCATGAAGAACAGTAATAAGCCTGACTAATATTATATAATCTAGGCAGCACAAAAAAGGTTTTCCATATCCAAAAAATCCAAGTTTACCAATTCCATCTGATGTTGTAGCAACATCACATATACCATTAAATTAACCTGCTAATAAATCTGACAGATTACTAAAGCCAACTGCACAGGCAGCAGCCAAAGAAAATATAGCACCTTGGATACTAGTAAGATTTATTACTAAATTTATATTCAGATTTTTAGAGTTCAGACAATGAGTATTGAATAACTATTATTTCAACATGTTTGTTTTCAAACTAAACATTTCCATTTTGGTATTAATAAATCAAGAATATTCATTAGCAGAAATAAATCCAATAATTCTGAAGCATTGGTGGTGACCCATAAGGAAAATTAAACTTAGTCCAAGGATTTGGTCATAGTAGATCTGTAGAAAAACAAGTAGAAAGAGCATCTGAAGCATGTGCTACATATTAAGAAATTCCATGGGTGGAGGTCTTAATGGGACTTTTCCCAAAACGAATTTGGTTGCTTCAAACTGTTTTACTTCTTCTGTAGACAGTTGAAGCTGGGAAGTAAATAATTCTTCTGAAGAGCCAAAAGTTGGAATTGCTGGGGATGTTCCTGTAATATTGCTTGCAAGATAATGTGCTGATTCTCCAAAGAGCGTATATGTAGAACTGAAAGCAGGAGGCGCAATTGATTTTCCAAATACTGTGGCAAATGTTGTGTCTGGTAAAAAATTTGCAGAAAACGGTTCTCCAAGTCCAGAAAATGTAGGTGTTCCAATTCCATCTGATGTTGTAGCCATATTAAATGAAAAAGAATTTGCTGAAGAATCTGGCATATTAAAGCCAACTATAGAAGGAGCAGCTGAAAGAAGTACAGCACCTCGGACATCAGTAAGGCTTCCAGATGATACAGCAGCAGATTCAAATGATTTGAAAGAAAAGGCTTGAACACTATTCCATGTATCTGTAGGAAAGCCTGCAGTTATAGCATACAGAAAAAGTTGTAAGAATAGTTGCAATATTAAGAATACTGCACTAAAGGGGAAACTAAGATAATCAAAATGAAGCATGTGGTAAAATGGATCAACCAAAACAAATTCCTTACTTGATGTTCTAGAAGGCAGTGTCTGCTGTTGTTCAAACCCAAATGGAGGAGATTGGTGACTAGTCACATTCTTCAATTCCTTAAAAACAAGCATAAGTTCTATATTTCACATTTTGTTTTATGGCTTCAGATTAAATATTTTGAAATGCACATACATACTGGTATTACTTAACAGTTGGGTACTTAATGACTGTTCAAAGTTACGATGGACCCCAAAAGTTACAACTTAAACTTGACTTTATGACTGCAACCCCTCCCCTCTGTAGCTATGTGACCACTTTTTAGCTTCTTGGCAACCAGATCCTATTTATAATTCATTGCAGCTTCCAACTGTCATGTGACTGAAATTTTAAGTATTTTGCTTGTTTTTGACAAAAAACATTCATTAGGGAGTATGTATTCACTTAACAACCATATGGTGACCGTCTTAATGACAATGATTTTTGACTAAAACTCTGGGCTCAGTTGTGGTTACTAAGTGAGAATTATATTAAAAATCAAATATTTTTATTATCTATTTTTTCCTACTTACATTGTTGTAAAATCTTATTTCACATTTATTTGCTTTAGCAGCAAGTTGCATTTTTTTCTGTCCTGTACTCCAGAGAAACTTTCTGTTTCTGCTCCTTTATTTTCCAATTTGGCAATTACCATCAAAAAGAAAGCCTGGTTCTTTTATAAATGTGCTGGCAGGGGAAAAGGAACTTTTTCTCAGAGACCTAGGTATGGAAACTCAGTAAGACCTCAGGCTACCCCTGGCTGAAGGTGAGGCAACACTTCACCTTTGAGAACCTGGAAGTCTAGTCCAGTTTCTTATCCTCTAGAGCAACATTTATATGGAGGGAATGTGATGTTCAAGCCTTCATCTACTAGTAAACCTTTGCCTAAGAGCCCAGAGAGGCCTATCTTATCTGATTTGTCCTTTGTAATAGCTCAGAATGAAAACTCAAACAAGTATTTTATCTGCCTTGGATACAACATGTACAGGTTTGGAGAAAATAAAAACTTGGTAGCTTCCATAGGGAATTCTGATTATTTTATTATATTTCTATGCCACTATTTTTCTATAAATTCTCCAAATGCTTTTAAGTAAAATAAATGCTGAAAAGATAAGCTAAAATTTTGCCTACAATTTTTAAATGTGTTTATAAAGGCTAACTAAACCCAGTTATCTAAATAGCAATAGTTAAGTAAACTCAATCCTTCTTATCGCTGAAGCCTTCATCTGTTATTAGCTGACTTAATGCCTTAAATTATTACTGGTTTGAAAATCAGCAACAAATATGAACATGATTTTTTTTAAAATAAATACTTTCCAGTTGTACTCACCATTGCAGTTTTAGTAGAAGGAGTTGCATTCTTCAATTCATGCAATCTACCTTTCCACTGACTAGCTAGTTGCTGGACTGAATTGACCTGAAAAAAGGAGGAAAAATTATTCACTACTGCTTCACATTTCAAATAATTTTCAAAAAAGTGCTTCAGCCTTCTATGTTAAACAATATAGACACTTACATAAGCTTGTGTGCTATTGTTTGCTTTACAGTTATAATACCCAAGACGTAACTCTTCTGGCAAAAAGTCAGAGAAACCTGTAAGGATAACAATCAGACCAGAAAGGGAAATATTTTACCCCCATAATGCAAGGCTAGTAATTATACATACAGATACAATTTGTGGTTAAGAAAGACTGGCAAAATAATTCATTAGGCAAATAAAAATACAACATTCGTTTTCTCTCTTAAGCCCCTATAAAACCAAGTCAAAAATTTTGCCTCATCTTCCAGCAAGTGACCCATTCACAATACTTGCTGTCTCCTGGTGTTAACTTTTTTTCCTCTAAAAAGTGTGGTCAATCAATTGCAAACTCTAGATCTGAGATGCCTACTTGAGATGTGGATATCACAGATATGATTGTCTCCTACATCTGATCCCATACTAGAATAAAGGTGCCTTTTGTCCTGATTTTTAAATATATCTTATAGTGACAGATCCCTATATTCACCAGACAATAGTAATTTTAAGGAAAACAAACTATTGACCTCATATGCTTTCCATTTTCTCCTGTGAATAGCTCCCAAGTTATCTAGCCTTCAATGAAGCATAAGAGTCTAGCAACAAAGTGTGTGTGTGTGGGCACTGTCCAGAAATAAGAGACATTTGCAGATAATTAGGAGATATGGGGATGTAGATCTTTTAGATTTGAAATATTCTCCATTACAAACAGAACTGTTCTGTCCCATATAAGGCCTTTTAAAAGTTGGTCAAGGAATTTTGTCTGGCGGAGTCCAGGAGAAGACCTATTTCTACTGTGGCTCTTGCCATCTGGAACAGGGGTGTCCAATCTTGGCAATTTTAAGACTTGTGGACTTCAAATCCAAGAGTTCCTCAGCCAGCAAAGATCCATCCCCCACTCTCTCAGCCTTCCAACAAGACCTTAAAACCTGGCTGATTAGCCTGGGGCCTGGATGTGGGTATTCCTTTCTGAAAGTGGTTATTGGATTAAATTCTTTTTAACCCACTCCAATGTATATTTCTGCCATCTTAGCTAATTCTTAATGTAATGTTATACTTACTGTTTTAGTATTTTATAATACTGTTTTATTATATTGTAAGCCAACCAGTTGACTTATTGCAAGATGGGCAGCAAATAAATTGAATAAAAAAGCAAATAAAAATAAGAACTTATTTTTCATAGTGCCTTAGTTACACAGATATGTGCAATGTCTCATCCAATGAGACCTGACAATAGAGTAATTTGTACCTGAAATATTAGGTTTTTCTTTCATTGGTGAATAGGAGGAAAACATCCATTGTCCAGAAGATTCCCAAATCTCCATGTCTTTCATTATTATTTCACTGAATAAATGATAATGGAAAGTTGTAACCCATACTAAACTGATGTAAAATAAAACCAAGCTAATCTTAAGGGTTCATTGTTTTTAAAAATGGAGACAAATCAAGACTTATTGAGCATAGTAAAAAGCATAGTTAATTTTATGATTTAACCACAATTCTTTTTCTTGCCCAATGCAAAAACAATAAGACTTGATCTAAAATTAGACAACAAAGTAAGTTGTGATGAGAATGCTGCTCTACTATCAAGAGACCCTACCAGTAGGATAGTGCCTTTGTCTCAAGGGTCTCTAGGTATACCTATAAAATGTCTACAAGTCAGTTTGCATATTCTGTATGCAATTATAATATTCAATTCAATGAACTGTATAAACTACGGTAGCAAAGAACTGAAGTTTAGGATTGTTATTTTTAACCACACATTTAAATCTCATAGTAATTAAAGGAAAAATGCCAAGTACCTAAGTTTTTCTTCTTCAGGTTTATTATCGTTATTCACATGTTCACTTGAATCTAACTCAGCAAATCTATTCTGAGAAAAATTTGAGGATATGGGGTCTTTGTTGCTTTTCCACTTAGAAGATTTTGAGTAATTAGATGCCTGCATGCTAAGAGAATAATGTTGCTGTCCACCCCCTGCTCCTCTTCTGCTGGAGTCTGAATGAAAGAGAACATAATGTATCAAACATCTTCTTTGCAGTAAAAAATAATTTGATCTATATCACAGAATTAAGTAACAGAAATGGGCCTACAAAAGATTTGACAGGGTACAAATCCAAAATCTATAGAAAATAACTCAAATGCAGATCCCTAGACAACAAAAAGCAACCATAATATTACAAGCTTTGTACTCTAACATACTTATTTTACAATGTAAATGTAAGATATTTCTATCCACCAGATTACTTCAGAACTGTGACAATCTTTATTCCTGTAATGTGTCCCTTCTGGTGACTATCTCTTTAAGGAGGTCTATCAGTCTCCTACCCTGGTCTCATCTTGCTTCTTTCACATTCCAGCCTATCTGACCTTTTGCTTTTTTCATGTTAATTTGGTGTAAATTCTGATAAGAGGTCTAATTTCTGCAGCTAGGATGCATGTCAATTCCTGCAAAGTCTGAGGCCTGTGAGAGGCAAACTCCTTTCTTCTTTTACAGCCCCTTTCTAGCCAACACTTTTTTTTAATGTAATGTTTATTTAACTCCTTTAGTTTAAGCCACCTCTACATGTATGGTTAGATATCCCACCTTTTGGGTATCCCAATCACATATATAAGAGTGTCCATGACTAAGGTATATCAAGTTCCAATACTTAAGAACCAACACACACCACTCAAAGACTAGTATTCAGTACTTCACTCTTTCCCTCTTCTACTCCACCTCTACCAAATACTACTTATAAGTCATATTGATAAAGAACAGTATATCTGCTTAGTAGCTGCTTTAGGTACACACACACCTCTCCGAAACCATACACAGCTGCCTCTCTGCTCAGTTTTTATAACAATTGCTATACCAGCATAATGAGAGGCCTTAAAGAAACAGAATAGTAGCACAAGTGCTGGCCATTTTGTAGGCAATCTGTCCTCATATCTGTGCTAGACTTTAAAATTCTGAGAATTTGCAGAGACCACAATGAGCCAGTGAATGGCTGACTAAGAGAAAGTGTATATAAACTATCATTTACGCTAAATGGAAACAAACATTCTTTTAATTGTTTAATTTCTATGGCTGTCCAAAAGCCCAACAAACTTTAATAGCATCTCAGCATTTTTGGAACCAGGTGATTTTTCTCAATTGTAATTAATTACACTTTGTTCTGGCAGCTAGAGAACCCTAACCCTAAATAAATAGGCTACTCAGGTGGAATGATTTTAATTCTACTTAAAGCAGATCCCTCACATCCTGGACATAAACTGTTTCAACTCCTACCCTCAAAACAATGCTATAGAGCACTGCACATCAGAACAACTAGACAACTAGAGTTTTTTCCCCCAACGCCACCACTCTGCTAAACAATTCCCTCAACACTGTTCAACTATTTACAAAGTCTGCATTACTATTACTATTAATCTTCTCATCTCTCATCATCCATCCCCTCCCACTTGTGACTGTATGACTTTGTCGTTTGTAACCTTATGATTTATATAGACTTTCCTAGTCTTTCCTTGATTGCTTATTGTACCCTATGACTATCATTGTTATACCTTATGATTCTTGACGAATGTATCTTTTATTTTATACAGAACGAAGCTGCATTGCCCATTAACCTTGCTTTTGTAAGGAACCTTGTTTTAATCTTATTTATTGGATTTCAATATTGTTGAAGACCGTTTTAACTTGGTTAACTGCTATACAAATTGTTCTTTCGCAAGGAGAGCGGAAAATAAATAAGACTAAGCGTCCTAATTAAAAAAAAAAAAACATATGGCCATGTTTGATTTCAACCCATCACTGTCAAAGAGGCTGGGGTGGTGAAGAACAAAATACAAGCAAACTAGTTTAAAAACATTCTGGAAGCCGAGTAGGCTGGGGCGGACCTTCCTCTCCCGAGTGAATCCATTAGGCAGAGCCACGTTCCCCCCACCGGGAAGAAAGTCAAGAAACTACAAGTGGCAACCCTTAAGCGGCTAACGGGGAACCCAAATCCCCTCCGTACCTGAGTTTTGGCCAAAGGCCTGGCTGCCTCTGCCACCGCGTGGATGTTCATACCAGCATCTATCACCGAAACGGCAGTTGCCCTGTAAATAGTAAGAGCAAACCCAACCAGAATTGTGAGCCATGAGAAGCAACGTCTCAACGCCACCAATACAAGTTTCCCGCTTTGCTTCCACTACCGTATCCGCTCCGCGATATTTTCTCTAGGGCTACGCAGTATTTATAATACGACTGGGGCGTGCCTGGGCACGCAGCAATTAGGGCGTCTAATGATGACGTAAAGACGACAATCTACCCTTGGCGGAAGTAAATGCATTGGCAAATTGCCCTCCAACATCTTAAAAAGTAATTGTCTTTTTTTAAATCTGATTTTAGATTTCTCGTTACGGTTAATTAAAAAAAAAAAACAGGCACCCAAATATATAGTAGTAAGAATTCAATGTGCCTCTGAAGGCGACATTCAGCAAGTATAGGTACAGCAGGAAGTCTCCGTATGGTGCTGCTAATACCTATTCCACTTTATTTCATATTTTGATGAAATTAAAAGGATTGGGAAATGGAGAAGAAAGACCTATCTTTTACACAACATGCTCAATCATAAACTGGCCAAACTTTTTTTTAATGTGTGTTGAGCAAGCCTAGCAACTAAACTCATGGTAGCTGTTTACAAGGTTTATGATATATCTCTAGAAATAGTTGTATATATTTAATTGAATTTGGAAGTTACAAATAAAGGAAGAACAATGAATTGTACTGAATGTTGGGGGCAACAAAATGTTTTTGTTATGGTAGAAACATTGTAAGTCTGAAGTCTGAATCTTGGATTGATTTGTGTTCATTCTTCTTTTGAGTGACAAAATTGAAAAACTGATCCATTTTACTCCGTGTGGTCATATTTTAATGGTTTTTTAATCGAGTTGTTTAGCATAAATAAATGTTCCCCTTTTTGTTTTGTTACTGTTTATTATTTCAAATTTTAAAGTTTGCACTACTAGTTTCTTTTTCTTACCAAAGCAAGGACATTTAAAAAGTAGTTCAATCTGAAACGAAGTCATGCTAATGTTTCAGTATTTTATTACCATTATAACATATGTCCCCATTTATCTTCCTTGGGTGCTCCAAATGATAAATGCACAGTAGTAGATAGGTAATAGTGGATTTTGGCAGCTAAGTTTTCCGTGAATTTGTAACTGTAAAATGTATATTTCATCACCACTATTGAAACGCTAGGGGCTTAATTTTCTAAACGTAGACACTGTTAAATTATAATTATGTCCCAATAGACCCATTCCTCCTTTATTTTCTCCACAACCTGTGAGGTAGATTGGTATTGAGAGAAAGTAACTGGCCCAAAGTCATCTGGCCAGCTTTAAGCTAAGGCTGGACTTGAAACTTGAACTGACAGGCTCCTGCTTTTCAGCTGACTAACTTGACTAATTTTCAGCTGACAACTTGACTAATTAGCTCTTCCATGCGACTTTTATTTTCAGGAATGCTTTTAGATCCAAATAAAAATACTAGCCAATTATAGTTCTATTAAGCCCCTTATTTTGAACTTTAAAGCAAGATAGTGACAGAGCTTCATTTATGTGGAAAATAGTTGTGGAAGATGGTGCTGTGGGAAGCC